GTAATTAATCCAAACATCAATTAAATGGTGATTTTATGATACATCTAAGTAAGATAATTAAGTCCAAAATTTCTATAATTTAACTCATAAACTTAACATACGGCCAATTTTAAATTTTTAATAGCTCCACCAATCACAAGTTGAAATTTTCTTTGTTCAATCATTGATAACACAAAATAATGTTAATATTGATGGGACATTGTATTGCACTAACTGACAAAATAGAAGAACTTTGTGCACGTTAAGACCCACACATATGCTCCAAATGAAACACATAATTAATTAATTAATTAAAAAGCATAAAGAATATTTCAGAGCTTATTTCTTTTAATTAATCTTAATGGCAGATTGGCATAATCCAACTAGTGCCTTCCAACTAATACAAAGTATTCTTCTATGATTATATCGTCTCGCCTGCATCCATTCCATGATTCCAATGAGTTTGTATTTATAATTATAAAATTAAGTAAAAATATATAAAATTAAATATAAATAAATAATCTTTATATTCACTCCAAGGCCCCATTTGGGTTATTAATAGGAAAAGGAAATGATACCCTGGATGATCGTATCCAATAAATATTATACTCATCTAATCCTTAATATAAGACTTATTTCACTAATTTGATTAGATTAAAAAAATTAGGTAAATTAATTAATTATAAGAAATATGACTTTTTTTTTCTCAAATACCATAATCAACTTCCTTAATATCATTCTTCCTTCTCCTGCTTGATTACAGTTGATGAATTATCTATAAAGATAATTTAAAAAAATTAATAAATATAAGAAATAGATCTTACATTTAAGACTAAAACCAACTCAATAATTATATCATATATTAAGAACGGGAGGAGTATTATTTTTAACATTATTTAACAGTAAAAATATCTTATTATTTCCTGAGCACCAAAACAGAACTGCATGTTATTACCAAGGGAAATTGAAAGTTAATTAAATTAGTTATTTATAAATAAATGTGTATTATTTTTTTCCCTAAGACATCCTTTAATTATTTGTATTGAAATTATTCCTATGAATACAAATTCCTTTTAATATGTGTAATTAATAGGGATAATTGAGATAAAAACTTACAAATTTGAGATGCAAAGTAGATTATAGATTTAAAGTATTATATTTAAAATTAAAACAAATCCTTTAACTAACTTTTATATTTAGGATTAAAGGAATTAATATTTATGAGTTATTTATGGATCTATAGAGTTTCAAAACTAAAGCAAACTCCTAAATTAACTCCTACATTTAACATTTTTCTTGTATTTAAATCAAATTATTAACACTATCTCAAGGACAATACTTCATTATATAAAAGGATAACACTTAGATTAAAGTTTTTTTTATATTCATCATGTCAATTTTTTCAATCACAAATAACCAACTGCTATATTCTTAAAGTATTAACATTATACTATAAACTTGTATGAGAAAAAAGAAAGACATATGACAATGTGCGATTAATAGAGTTGACATAATGAATATTGTCTTAGGGATTAATTATAATAGTTATAAGATTAGATTTTTATCTTAAATATAATATGTTAATTTATTTTGTTTTCCTAATTTATAGTTTTTCTTCAAAATATTTCTATTGATTGTAAGGGCTTTCACCAAAAGGTAATTTTAATATACATAATTAAAAATAGTAGTTTAGAAAAATCAATATACATTTATTACAAATAATTAATATAAATTATTTTCTTAATCTCTCTAAGCACTAGAGTTAGTATAAGAAACTTGATTTAAGAATTTCTTCCTATATAAAACAGCAGTTTAAAGGTTCAAAGGTGAACATTTATTTTGAGATTTTATAAATAATAAATTATTTGTTCTTTTCGGGCTTTGTTACGTTGTGATTTTATGGGGTAGTCCCACCAAGTGGACAATATGATGGCTTCACAGGTTGGCAAACGGCCTTATCTCTTTTCTTCTATTCCAGCTAGCATAACACAAACTAAACATTTATAATCAAACAAACAAACAAATAAATAAATATCGACTTATCATTACAAATTGTTATGAATAGTAATTTCGGTAAGAATTAGTAAAATTGGTATTTAAAAAAATCACCGTTAATTGAATTTTAAGTTATTTTTTATACCGCGGCAGTGAACAAGATTCTTTAGTTTGGATAATTAATAATGGAAAGTCCTTCTCGTTCATCCATGAAAATAGAAATAGACATGTAATTGATGTTAATTTAATCATTAATTAATTATCAATAAAAATATAGAAAAGCCAATAAAATTAGTTCAATTAATAATAGAAAAATGGGGATTTAAATCCAGCTATTGATTTAAGAATCTTCTTTAGAGACAAATATTTTATTTTTAAGGACTAATCGTAAATATTCATTATCCTCTTGTAAATTTGTGTTGTTTGAGTGATGAATATTATTAGGCCAAAATACAAATAATTCCCCTCAACTTTAACTCTCTTGCATATAACCTTCCTCATCTTTAAATGTTTAAAAATCACACCTTTAACTTTCATTGTTTGATATTTAACCCCTTGCTGTTAAAATAACCGTTAAACTTAACAGAAAGGATGCCACATCATTTTATTTAAAATTATTTGAAAGATGACATATAATTTTTATTATTTTACTAATTTATCCTAACTTAAAAACTTATAATTACACTAAAGGATACTTTTGTAATTTTAATTAATAAAAATCCTAGTCCTATTCTCACCTAATCGTCCAGTTCTCCCAGCCTCCCCCAGTCGGTGGTCCTTGCCGTTTTGCAACATTTCATTCATCTCCTAATCATCATATTGATTCCAAAAATCATCTTCATCACATTCTTCCTTTAAATCTAGATTTTTTTGTTGTTGTGAAATTACATTGTTTTCTTTTATGATATTGTTACTCTTCCTGGTAAAGGTATTCTAATCAATATGATTTTTTATACCTCACTGTCATGTTGTATTAAAACTGTAAAAACAAGGCAAATTTTCTTCTTATTTTGTAGAAAAGAATACACCATTCAAGGCTCTCACTTGCCGATTAGAGTATGTTGTTTGCAATCTAGATTCTTTTAGATTAGAAATCCACCACCCCATGCCTTCCCACAAAGCAAATATTGATATTTTTAGAACCTCGATAGTTTTAGTTTTCTTCCATATCCCTTAATCTACTTTTTGGTACCTGAGATTAATTCTTCCTCATCTTTAAAATCAATGCTTGCATAGAGGGAGAGTGAATATCGCCATGCTTAAACCAGGACGTGGTGGGAATGGGAGCGGCCGAAAAAACAAAATGATTGGGCAACTGGCAAGACTAGAATTAGGGATCATTATCGGTAGAGTTACAAAAACACCATTTGTGTAGTTATGAGTTTTAATTTAGAAAAAATTAATAAAATAATAAAATTACATGTCATTTTCTAAATAATTTTAAATAATATGATGTGGCATCTGTTCCATTAAGTTTAACAATCATTTTAACGGTAAGGGGTTAAATATCAAACAATGAAAGTTGAGGGTGTGATTTTTAAACTTTTAAAGATGAGGGAGGTTGTATGCAAGAGAGCTAAAGTTAAGGGGAGTTATTTGTATTTTGGCCATATTATTACATATTTTTTTAGTTATAAATTTTGCGTTATTTAAATAATCAATATTCATAATCCTAGTGGGGAATTTATGTTACGTGAGCAATAAATTTAATAATACTTTTAGTAATTAATTTTTAGATTTGGTCTTTGGTATAATTATCTGCTTTTTTTTTTCACCAAATAGACGGTTTAAACATTTTTCCAAACATTTGTTTTAAAATATAGGGGGCACGAAATCAGTATAATTAATTAATACAATTATAAATAATGAATGGTATGACTTATCTAGACATTAAATAAGAATAACTATCATATAAATAAAATAAGAAAAATATAATAATACGGTTTTTATAATTAAGCCTACTGATACGGCACTGCAGAAGAACATTATCTACAAAACCCATATTAAGAGGAGGAATTTTTTTAAAAAGAAAATAATTAATATATATATTATCACCGAAAAAGCCCAAAAAAAAAGCCTATGGTTAGTTGCATTACAATTCATAATATTCCAAACCCAACTGTATCCTCTTCTCGTTTCCCTTTTTTTCTTCCTTCTTTGAAGTTCCTCGCCGTCTTCAATTTCTCTCCGAGATTCTCGCTTTCCCCTTTCAACCCGCTTTCTCTCTAATTTATTAATTATTAACCCCAAGCCAAAATTATACATAACTCACATGAACTTTAAATCATGAACATTTACGCTCTTATTTTTGAAATTTCTTAATGAATCCCTTAAATTTTTATATTTACGTAGATAACTCTTATATATATATAATTTCTTATATTAAATTTTTTGCCAGAATCTTATATGTTTATGATTTAGGAGAATTATTTACATATCAATTAAAGTTTAAGGGACTGTATGAGCACAAAAATAAAGTTTGATAGAGTATATAATCAATAGGCTAATAGTATTTTTACTTTCTGAAATTTTCTAATTTTGATTTTGGTTTATAAAATTTAAAATTAATGGTTTTGGTTCTTATAAACTTGTTTTAAAATAAAAATACTGTTTCAGAAACTAAAAATATTTAGACGGATCAAAATAAATTTAAATTTCAGTAATTAAAATTAAAATAAGTTCAAATTTTAGGAACTGAAAATAATATTAACTCTAATTTTTTTGGCCTGGCTATTAACTCTAATTAATAATTGGGGGGGCTCTCCGTATTCTGGACATGCTTAAAGGTTAAGGGGATTATTTGTATATCGACTAAATGTGGAGGAGTTTTTGTGTAATTTAGCTTAATAAAAATTATATTATAAAATTCTGTCTTAGAAATTAATAATAAATAATCAATTAACTAATTATTTAATTAATATTTCTAAAAAGCCCGTGAACGTGACGACGTGTCGATACTCCTCAAGTCTCCCTTGACGACAGTTTATTAGACTGTTTTTACCTTCAGAGACGACAAACACAGCGAAAGCAAAAGAGGAGAGAGGAGAGAGGAGAGAGGAGAGAGAGGAAGATAACGTAACAATGGCCGGTGGGGCTGCCAGCGCCGTTGCCGGAGATCGCACTCCGGAGCTCATTGGTCTAGTTCATGACATTGTTGGAATTTGCGGTGGAGTTGGGGGATCCTCTTCTGCTACTGCCATTGAAGCCGATGCTATGTTCAAGAAGGATTGCACCGATCTGGTTCGTCGGATCTCTTTACTTACTTATTTGTTCGAGGAGATTAGGGACTCGAAGAAGGCCGTTGTTGATTCTGGAAACTCGGATGCTTCTACTTCGTCCACTGGCTCTGCATCTTCCTGGTCCTCTGATCTGGTGCTCGCTCTCCACTCAGCCAAGCGCCTTATTTCTGTCGCTAGGAACTTCCGTTCTAATTCATCTTCTGTGAGTTGTTCGATCTGCCTTATTTTTCCAATTTCCTTTTTTTTAATTATTTGTAGCCTTTTTGTATTTCAAGCTTCTTTTCGTATTTGGTAGTGGTGATTATCGAATGATTAAACGAGAAAAATTCTTCGAAGCTGACATTGTACTTGGTGCATCATTTTGTTTCCTGAGATAGACTGCTTCAATGTGGAAGTGGATTCTCACAGTTCGATTTTCTTTTATGAATAATTTAGATTTTTTTGCGGAAGTAAAATCTCACATTTTGGTTCTTTTTTCGAATAATTTAGATTTGTTGTTGACCTAATTAGTATGCCATTGCAAAACTCTTGATCGTTTCGCCCCATCATAATTCTGCCGTGGAAATATGCTGTCTTCTATTTCCTTGTATGAAAGAACGTCAGATGCTGCAACTTCTCAAACCATGTGTGTTACTGCGAGAAAGAAGTATTGCATAGACGGGAATGACTCTATGATATGAGAAATCAGATCAAATATTTGCTTTAGTTAGTTATCTTTAGACGAGGGAAGCTAGCATGTCCCTTATGGGCTACCCGCTGTCTTAGATTCTATGATGGGTTTCATTGACAAGTTTTTTTCTTGTGTTGTGCTTTCCGATATATTGTTCTATTTGACTATGTAGAAAACTCGATTTCATTGGAATTTATTCCGGGTTAAAATGATTTTGCACTTCTCCAATTATTAAGTTTTGAATCTTACGACTGCTGAATTTCTGTGGGCATGTATCTATAAAAAGGATGTCTGGGTACATCTCTGAAATTTGCTCTATCTTGATTTAAGGATGGAGCTGCCAAGGCCATTGTATTCCAATTTCAATGTGTGACATGGAAATTGGAAAAGCTGTTAAGCGTCCTACCCTATGACGATCTAGACATATCAGAGGAAGTCAGGGAACAGGTAACACTTGGACATATTAGGGATCCCATCACTATCATTCTTTGAATTTTCCTGGCTTACTATTTTGGGTACCTTTTCACTTTCTAGGTGGAGTTGGTCAGAACACAACTGAGACGAGCCACTGAAAAATATGAATATATGATTTCCGAGCAGTCATCTTATGACTCATCTCAGCCAATGGCTCTGGAAATTAGTCAAAGTTTCCGTAGATCTGTGAATGGATTGCACAAACAGCATAGCTGTCCTGGTTCTTTATCAGATCTAGAAAGCATTCCTAGAAGCAGTGGATGGAACAGTGGTAGCACAAATCAGACAAGCCCTCGCTTGGAAAGAGCACAGAGCATCCCTGCATCGTCTGAGGTTTCAATATCTAATCTTGTTGATCCTGAAGGTCAAGAAAATTCTGTGAAAAAGACTCTTACTGAAGTGAAAAAGCCTGAGGCAATTCGTATTCCTGAAGATTTTCTTTGCCCTATATCCTTGGAACTAATGAGGGATCCTGTTATTGTGGCCACAGGTCAGGTATGGTTCAATTCATATATAAAATATAAAGCTCTTCTTGAGAATTCAACGCAAAGGTTCTTCTATATTTAAAGAATCCAAAAAAGACCCTTCCCTGTTTAACGGAGTTTTTTTTTTTCCCTCGCAGACATATGAGAGATCTTACATCCAGAGATGGATAGATGGGGGAAATACAACTTGTCCAAAAACTCAGCAGAAGCTCCAACATTTGACACTTACACCAAACTATGTGTTAAGGAGCCTTATAACTCAATGGTGTATGGAGCATAATATTGAGCAGCCAACAGGACTTACAAATGGGAAGATAAAAAAGAGTGATGGATCATTCAGAGATGTTACGGGTGACATGGCAGCCATCGGAACTCTTGTCCAGAAGCTTTCTAGCCAGAACATTGAAGAGCGTAGAGCAGCTGTTGCTGAAATTCGATCACTTTCCAAACGAAGCACAGATAACAGAATACTAATTGCTGAAGCAGGAGCAATCCCAATTCTTGTTAACCTTTTGACATCAGAAGATGTGTTGACTCAAGAAAATGCCGTTACTTCCATTCTCAACCTCTCTATCTACGAGAACAACAAAGGACTCATAATGCTTGCTGGTGCCATCCCGTCCATTGTCCAAATCCTAAGAGCTGGAAGCATGGAAGCAAGAGAAAACGCAGCAGCAACCCTCTTTAGCTTGTCACTTGCAGATGAGAACAAAATAATTATCGGTGCCTCTGGAGCTATCCTTGCTTTGGTAGAATTGCTCCAAAATGGGAGTCCTAGAGGGAAGAAGGACGCCGCAACAGCATTATTCAACTTATGCATATATCAAGGAAACAAGGGTAGGGCCATAAGAGCAGGGATCATTGCAGCATTGTTGAAGATGCTTACAGACTCAAGCAAGTCGATGGTCGATGAAGCGTTGACAATAATGTCGGTTCTTGCCAGCTACCAAGAAGCAAAGGTTGCCATTGTAAAGGCCAGCACTATACCTGTTCTTATTGATCTATTGAGGACTGGATTGCCTCGAAACAAAGAAAATGCAGCTTCCATTTTACTTGCCTTGTGTAAGAGGGATCCTGAAAATCTGGCTTGTATAAGCAGGCTTGGTGCTATCATACCTTTGACGGAACTTGCTCGGAATGGCACGGAGAGGGCTAAAAGGAAGGCTACTTCACTATTAGAGCATCTACGAAAGTTGCAACATATTTGAATGTTGGTGAAGTTGTGCAGATAATTCATAATTGGGCCATCTTTTTCTTTCCAATTATTTGGCATAATTTTCCAGTCTCTCTCTTGGATTTGCAAGCTGATCACGTGAGGGTGAAGATAAGAAAAAGCCTCATTGTTCAGTGCATTCTTTTCTTGTTTTGTTTTTCCCCCCCGATTAACCTCGTCTTCTATAAGCGTGTAAAGAAATCAATTGAATTATTGTTTCCTCACGAAATTGTTATTGGATTTGTCTTCCACTTCTCTTCTTTTAGCACTTCAAAAAGACGATTGATGAGCTTCCGGTCCTTTGCATTCTAGCAGAAAATAGAAGAATGTAGAGTCTTAGAAGTTCAGTCTCATGATTTTAAATACTATCTCCATTACTTAATGTAAAATCTAGTTTGTATTATGGACTAGAAGTAGTAATATGTTTTGTCAATGTAACAAAAAAATATTTTTCATAGGAAAAATATTTTGCCAAAGTTGGAATTAGGGAATTCATTATCCCACTGATCTTTGAGCATATTGTTAGCTTTGGTTGGCAAATCTAAGAGAGGGTGAATCGGGCTAAAATTTCTGTCCAAGATGAGTGATTGAATACAGCAAATAACTTAACAACATAAATGGACTGTTAAGCACGAGTGACGAATGTAAAGAATATAAGGATGAGAGTGCATACACAGCGAGTTATTTTGGTTCAGTACTTTAGCTCCTCAACCCGGACCCATATGTACTTTCTAAACTCTTCATTTGAGATTTTCAATCTATTACACCCTTCAAGTTCGATCTAAATGATTGAGAAGCTACATACAATCCTCTTGATAATCCCAGGTCTAATCACACTCCCTTTTCTTTTCTTTTACTTTGAGTAAGCAAGCTCTACGGGCAGGTATGGAACCCTGATTCCTAGTGCCGCAAGGGCACCATTTGCGCCACGAGGCCAACAGGCCTCAGGCTCTTCTTGGAGCAATCTAATCCCCTCAAGATTCTCAATCAGTTTTGAGTAAAACTCTTTCAAGACCGTTCATCAAGTGATCAACAAGATATTTTCTCTCAAAGTTTAGATGAGTATAATGAAGGTTAATGAACATCAGGTGGCTAACTCAGATCACAACTAATAGAGCCTTTGCACTAAATATGATTAAGGTTGTTTTTTCCCACTTAAATTCAACTTCTATATATAGATTTTCTGAGCAAAAAGACATTAGACACAAGATCTAGCTGTTATTCACTAAAATTAGCCATTAGATGAGAGTATTTAATGCATGTATCGAAGAAAAGTAATTACTCCAATGGTCGACTATGGCTCACTAGTCGAATAAAGCATAGACATGTCCTAATTTATATAGAAGCTCTCGATAGACGACCAGTGTGAAGTAAGTGAATAATTATTAGAGTAATTCAAAGTTTGAACAATTAAGCACAATCATAGCCACATACTTGAGACTAGATTTATCATCATATAATCTTCAAGTTTTTTCAGAGATTAAGAGTAGTCCAGTGGCACGTCATAGGTGTTTACTATATTTTCCCAAAAACATATTTTCATACAATAGTAGACAGCTAGTGTGTCACTAGACAATTAATTAATTCTTCCTGAAAATATCATTTTAAGATCAACAATGAGATAGTTGAAGAGCTCTGTACAGGCACCTATGAGTTTGAATTTTGTAATGTCTATATTATAGCCTCTTGTTATTTTCATGTTCAATTAAATAATCAACTCTCGACAAGCAGATTAATGAAACTATTCAAATCTAACTTTGTTTTAAGAACTAGATTTGTTGATATAATATTCACATTTTCGTTATGAAACTTTGTTTAATAAAACTGTACTGTGTAACCTTTTTTAGAGACATTATATTTATATATTTAAATGTACATAAGAAAGGAAGAAAGAAATAAAATAAGAATCAACCAAAAAAAAACAGAGATTGCATTTACCATTTTATTATATTTTAAAAGTTTTTTATTAATTTCTAAAAGACATATAATAATCTTTTTTATTTATACTATTAATTTATAACAAATATTCTATTTGTATGTATCATGAGTGAAACCTCAACTAGCTTTGAACCTATTCGACTTTCTTGATCCTTCACTCCCCTGAGTAGTATTAGAGCCTTGTTATCTAGACAGAAATGAGATATTATTAGTAATGGTAAGTAAAAAAATCATGAGTAAAACCTCAACTAGTCTTGAAGCTGTTTGACTTTCTTCATTGTTCACTCTCCCGAGTGGTACAAGAGGCTTGCTCTTTAGACAAAAGTGATATATTATTAGTGATAGTGAGTAAGAAGATTCCATTAAACAATAAGTGAAATCTCAACCAGCCTTGAACCTATTCGACTTTTTTCATCCTTCACTCCCCCAAGTGGTATTAAAGCCTTGCTATTTAGATAGAAGTGAGATATTATTAGTGACGATGAGTAAGGAGATTCCATTAAACCATAAGTGAGATCTCAACTAATTTTTTATTTTAAACAATATAGAAGAACATGGGGGTTCTAACTTTTTATTGTTCAATTGAAGAGGCCAAGAATTAGTTCTTATTATAAAGATTTATTAAGGATTAAAAATCTTATTGATTGGAGGAAGTTGTTCCCTTAATTAATTAAAATATTTCGAAACAAAAGACTTTTAATAAACAAATTAATGTTTCAAACAAAATATTTTATATTAAGGATTATAAGGAACGATTCCTATGATAAATATCAAATTGAGTATTAATATTAATAGTGTTAAGCATAGAATAATTTTTTTTTACAATTGTATATATTTCAATACTTTCTTTAATTCTTATTATAAGAACACTTCCTCATATGTTTAGTATGAAACCTTTCGTCCATGACATACAGCCTCTTGTGATTATGAAACTTCATTGAGAATAATAGGACCGTACATAAGTAGAGCAGGGCTGGGCAGAACCTCTACCTAATGCCCAGCTCAAAAGATGAATGAGATGCATTTTACAGCCCGCTGCTCGGTCTTGTCCAATGCAAACTCTATTAATTTTGGGTAGGGCAAGATAGGGCTAGGTAAGGTAGGGTGTGCTTCGTTATCTATATAGTAACACCTTCCTCATATAGTATATGAAGAAAAAAATTCAAATAGGATCTCTAGTAAATAATGTTGTAAACTTCAATTATATTCCATAATTTCTAACAACAAAAGTTAATGGTTTCTACGTAAAATTAAGGAAAAAAATCTATCTAACACTTCTAAAGTCATTCAAGATGCCTATATAACATCTATTTATAAGAGAACATTCAGTTAATAAGATAAGTAGGCTATAAATGCAAAAAAATGAGGTGAAAATATAGCCCCTATGTCTATGCCATTTTAAAAGTCACCTAAAATCAAACTAAGATATAAAGTAACATCAACAACTTTTGAGAGATATGAGCAATGAATGGGTATTTGAATACTTCAGCTCTTATAAATTCTAATCCAAAATTTATGCATGACACTCTAATAGCTTTCAAAATGTGCACCGTTACCTTCTGCGCTCCAATTTTTCCTTTTAAATTCATCATATTTGTGGCAACTGATTGCATAGTTGAGTTCTTGAAATTTTTTTGGTATTATTTAATTTTTCTTACCATCACATATTAATGTGTCCCAAAAAAAAAATAGAAATATATTATATATAATTTTATATAAAATAGAATAACATATTTATTGGGCAGGACAGCACACCTAGCCCAATACCTAGCCCTGCCCAGTACTTAGTCCAACCCCAACATGCCCAAATTATTTTCGGCTTAGTTTTTTTTTTTTTTTTTGAGTTGGGCTGAGAATTTTTTGTTCGGGCTCGAGCAGACAAACCGGGCTAGTAAATTACACGAACACTCCTAAAGAATAAATTTAAATTTTAGGAGCATCAACTAATTTTAATTGATTTTCTTAATAAATATAATTAATAAAGAGGGAGTACATGCAAAAATATATATACCAGTATGGATTGTTGGATCACACGAAAGAGGGGTCATAGAATCTCCATGATGACCACCGCTGGATTTTATGGGTATGTAATCGTCACAAGTGCTTGACTGATCTCAAAAATCGAACTGCTCGAGTGATCAATCTTTTGATTGTTAAACGACGGGTCACTAGCCCTAAAGTATCGGATTTCAATTTCCAATATCATTTGTTGGAAAAGAAAAACAGCTAGAGCTTCCTTGTATTTTTGTGTATTTGTTATGCGCCATTCTGGTTAGTTCACAAAAAAGAAGATCTGAATTCTAGAAGTCCCTTAGTATTCATCGTTGGCATTGGCAAAAGACGAATTAGCCCTGCCTTCCTGGCTTTGGATCACCAGGGTAACAGGGCCTGACACTTATATTCAAGGCCTTCTCCTCTATTTCTTCTATTATAACTTTCCCCCTCCCCATTCTGTAATCCTGTATATAATTTCCTTTCTCCTTCTACTGCTACAATACAAGATAATTTTATGACTTCAATCCTAAATATAAAACCCTTATACTAGTGATAGGAAGAATATTAATGTCATTTGGCCTTTTATCAAAAAAGAAAATAGAGGGAAGGAAAAGAAAAGACCACAATATCTCTCTCACAAACGCTGCTGCATGTATATGTCATGCCCCTCTAAATTGGCATCTAATGGCATTAATTGTCCAAATAAGCGTAACTCCGTCAACTTTATTTTTTTAATTTAAAGGAAAAATACTTGGCACTTGCAAAATCACATTTTGTATCTCGTTCTGCTTACAATTTTACATCCTAATTAACCAACTGCTGTCAGCAAAATCCAAACTCCAACTTCTTGACTACGAGTTCCTTGTTCCACTTCGGTCAAAAAAAAAAAATCCTTGTTGCAAGTACACTAGGTTGGTTTTCTTTCCAAATGAATCTACAAGTAAAATTTAAAAGAGCGTAAAATTTTAAGTTCATTCGTTCCCCTCACACTCACGTCATGATCAGTGAGAATGAATAGGCAGTTGGGAGCTCCAATATGGCAAAAGAAAAATTTTTAAGGGCAGTAGTGAGAACTAGAAGAACTGCTTTGGCTCTCTTTAGTAGAAGGAGACACTGTACAACAGCTTTCGCCGGTGTTGTCTCTCGAAAGTGGAAATAATGTCATCAATGGACTCCTCCCATGATTCAACAGCTTCAATCTGTGCACAGAGATATATCATAGGAAGTGAGCCGATAGAGTAGATATACTATAAGTACAATGAGAAAACATAAATTGCATGAATGAAACAGACATCCTGGCAAAGGTCTAAAGTAAGCCTTGCTCCAATGGCAGCCTCCTCGTGGTTATCCTTCACCTCCAAGTTTATAATCAACACAGTTTTCATCAGAACATGATCTCTGTTGTGGAGATCTG